ATCAGTATTGCAGAGCTCTTAATTCTGGCATCCCTATTGGGAACCTGAGTTCTGCAGGAATGTGGAAAGGAGTGCGCGAGAGATTGAGTAGGTGGTTTTCAGGCTGTTACTTCATAGGAGGACGCCCCTGCCATCATGGTCAGAGCCACAAAAGACAAAGTGTAGCCTCTCCAATGAAGGGAGTGTCTCTGCCCTTCTGCCTGACAACCCCTACGGTTCCTTCTCAGCCCCCACTTGTCACTGAGTGGGAACCATGATGTCTGGAAGGGAGAAACCCTATTGTTTGCCTCAGGGCTATCTATGGCTGCAGGTCGCTGTAGGGAATGATTGCACAGGTGCTAGCCTAGAGGCTGGAAGGTTCTCAGAGCCAGACTTTCCTCTAGATCAGCCAACCTCTAGGGCCCTGCAACTTTGTAACTGTAGCAACTCCATCCCTCCTCCCCAGAAGTATATAGAAACATTTTATACCTTCTAGAAACCAGAAACATTGTAACTATGGAACTTTGGGAAGGCAGGAATATGTAGAAACATTTTACACTTTCTAGAATCTGAACTTTGTAACTATTTTCAGAGGTGCTTTTAAAAAACATTTAAGACCTTTGAGAATTAGCTGTCGAGCACAGTAACCACAGGGCACATTCACCTGCTGTATACTTGCCCAGAGGCTGGCCCAAATTGAGGTATGCTGTAAAGATAAAATATGCACCACGTTGGGTATGAAACAAAAAACGTTATATTAACAACATGCGGAAATGATAACAATTTGGATTAAAATAAATTAAATAAGGTATACTAATTAATGTCCAATAAAATTAAAGTTGTGATTAAAATTAATCTGACCTATTTGTTTTGGCCCCTTTTGATGTGACTACAAGGAGATTTTAAGTTACACATGTGGCTCATGTTACCTTTCTGTTGGACACCTGTTTGCTAGAACTCTGAAGCTGTGCAAGTGCAGCACATTTGTAAATGCAATGGGGGAGGAAGTTAAGCACGTATGACCGTCATCAACTGTGTATTTTCCCAGGCTTCTTGCCTTTAGTTTACTAAATAATTGTATCAGAATCACATGGGTTGGTCTGGTTTCGTCAGCAAATTGAATTGCTACCTGAAAGGGGCAGCATATTCTTCTCAGATTCTCTCTCTCTTTTTGTTTTAAATAGTTCTGCCATTGGATAAACCACTTAAAGATTTAGCTCTTCTAGCCACATTATGAAGAAAAATTATGTAGTGTGCTGAATGGGTCAGAGTCAGCCAGTGCTCTTTTTTCTTCCTCATATGAAATGAAAACAGAAAATGAGAAGCAACTGTTTTTCTGGGTGCCGATTTGACACGTCTCCTAGTTGCTGTTTTGCTGAAGCCACCAGGCCCGTGACCACTGAGCTGGGCGGAAGGTGCTGTCCCCCAGTTGTCCCCCCACCCTGAGCCTAGGGAGCAGATCCAGGAGGCAGCCCCATGTCCTGGGCAGATTCTGTTTTGAAACTTTGTCCTCATGTTTTATGTGGCCGTGGCCTACACATTACCATGTCCCCTGCAGAGTCACACTCTGGGTGGGAAGTGCTGCTGCTCAGGTGTATCGGCATGTGAGGCCTGCTGTCAAAGTGTGTGCACTCCATGTGCTTGTTTGCTTGGTCTTAAGCTGAAACAAACTGTCCACAGGAAATGTAGCTAACAGCTGGTGTGTGTTGGGGGCTGGGGACAATGCCCCAGAGACAAACATCTGTGTGTTTACTTTAAAAAGAGGCTGATGCTTCTGGCCAGTGCTCGCCTGTCCAGGAACACACATGCAGGCCCCCCTGTGAAGCCCACAGAATGCTGCCCTCCAGGAGTGCTTCCAGCTGATCTCACGAGGCGAAAGGGATAATTATAATCCATTACTTTACTAACCTTTGGGGAGAAGTAGTGGGGGTGCATGAGAAAGGAAAAGCAAACAGTGCCAAATCTCTCCCTCCTGTGGGAAAGCAAAATGCCGTTGGCTTTGGCTTTGGGCAGATAATCCATTCACACAGAAGCCCTAGACCCAGAGCCCAGGCACCCTGCACTGTATCAAGAGAGGAGCCAGCTGCAGGGGCAAAGTTGTCTGCAGCCTTGCCTCCCCCATCGCTGGAGATGCCACAGTCTCAGCAGCCCCGGGACCTGGGCTGCCACAGGCAGACCCTCCCTGCCTGTCTGGGGGCTCCTGCCATGGGTCCACTGTCTCCCCCAGGCAAGCAGGGCCCCAAGGAACCAGGCTCACGTTGGAGCCTCAGGAGCAAGGCCAGGCCAGGTGGAATGGGGACGTGTCAGCAGAGCATGCAACTGGGTGGCAGTATCTGGGGCAAACCCGTGTAGGTGAGGCAGATGGAGGAAGTGGGGAGAGTAGAACCCAGGCAGGAGGAAATAGAGGCAAATGTACGGTCGCCAGACTTTAGCAAGAGGGTTTGGACAGGAGGTGGGTGGGAAACAGCTCAGGAGGCCGGAGCCCTCGGGTTGGGGCCACTCAGGCCCGAATGGGTGGGAGGAAGATGGGGAAAGACTGAGGCCTTGCCTCAGCCATGTCACTTAGGGCTGTCAGGCTGACAACTGTGTACTGGGTCATTGACCCTCGGTATTGTAAACATAACATAGCCAATTTGTGTGTGTGTTGTGCTCAATATAACAAATGTGCAAACTACTCTGCAAAAAAGAATTATGGCTCATTAGAAGACTACAGGATTGTTTTAAATTTAGCCATTATTGAAAACTTGCTTTATCACTCAAGCTGCTTTGTACCAAAGTGAGCATAATTCCAAAGAGAAAGGATAAAATACTCACTGTAATCTGTCCGTTTCAACAAGTCACAGTGGTTGGTGGTGGTGATCTAGATTTCTGACTCCTTTGTCCACAGGCACATGTTATTTGTAGATTTTCTTGATCATACTATATATATGTATGTCTTGATTTCTTCATATAACATGCTGGTTTAAGCATTCATCTGTATTCCCACACAGATACTGTGATCATCATGCTGACTGATTTTAATGCTCTTCGAAGTCACCATTCAGAGCTTTAGGTGCCTCCCTACTTTGGGACATTTTGGCATTCTTCCCATCAATACAGTGAACATTGTTGCATTTATATTATCTTCTGTAGGATTATTTCCTTAAGGCACATTGTCGAAAGAAAGACTAATGAGCCAATATTCCTACAAATATAAAGTGATGTCTTTATTTATTTATTTATTTATTGTTGCTCTTTTCTCATGGTACAAAGTCTTTGATACAATGAGTAACCAACTGTAGACTACTCAATATATGAAAGTGATGTTTATATTTTTTGATGCACAGTCGATCCTTGAACAACACAGGTTTGAATAGCAGAAGTCCACTTATATGTGGAGCTTTTTCAATAAATACACTGGAAAAATTTTTGAAGCTTTGCAACAAACTTTGTGACAAATTTGAAAAGCTGTTTTCTTTCCTCTAGCCTACTTACTATAATAATAAAGTATATAATACATATAACATACAAAATATATGTTGATCAACTTTGTTACTGATCAGACTTCCAGTCAGTGGTAGGCTATTGGTCATTAAGCTTTTGGGGAGTCAGGTTATAATTCAGATTTTCAACTGTGTGGAGATCAGTGAGCCTAATCCCCTCATTGTTCAAGTCTCACCTATACATTTCCACATTGCTTTCCAGTAAAAACCAATAGCGGAAAATTTTCATTAGCTTGCATTGATTTTTTTCGTAGTTTAACATTTATAATATGATAGCATTACTGGAACTTGTATCTTAAATTAGTTTTTAACTCTTCTTAATATTCTGTTCTCATAGAGTGATGTGATTTGGTATGCTTTGAAGTTAAGCACGTGTGTGTGTGTATGTGTATGTAAATTTTGGCTGGCTGGTTTTTAAGCATCTTAAACCAAGTGCAAGCATTTAAACAGTACTCTTTTCTGTTTCAGTCGCTATTTTATATATCAGTTTCCTTTTTTTTTACACTTCCATCTATTTGATTCAGTATTTGAATTAATTTAAAACATCACACTCCATGATAGAGAAAAACACAACTTTAATGAAATGCATTCAATTAAGATCCAAAGCAAAAGCAACAGGAAGGAAGTTTTGTGCATCTTGTGGTCCTTATTAATTGGTCCACATGCACACACATCCCTAACCAAACCCCTTTGTCTGGCTTGTCAGAGAACATTAGCAGAGACTAATCTAGAAGCAACTTCCTGGCTCCCAAAAGGACATAGTCACCGAGTAAGAAAGGCTCATTTATCAGAATGTGAACTTGGCTACGTAATCGAGGAGTGTGCAAAAGCATATTTCATGCATCATTATCAGGGCCTGATTAGCAATGATGGAAATTGGCCCTCAATTTTAACAATCAGCGGAAGAGACCTTCAGCTTTCACTGAAGATAGACAATTGCCATCCACATATCTCTGGTTTCTGCACAGTGGGAACAGAGAGACAAGCCCTTGCAAAGACTTTAAATTGTTTGGGCAGCATTGCCTCGCTGGTGCTATTTCCCAGTGACGTAAGTAAGGCCAAGTCCAAGTGGGTTGACATCTTCCTGGACCCCCATGTGGCAGGGACCACACTGTGCCTCTGGACAGCAGACATGGGAGCTTGTGTAACCCTGGGCAGGTTGTCAGTCACTCAGCAAATGGTTTCCTATCTATAAAATGGTGGTAACAACATTTACAAAGTGCTTGTATGAATTATAAGAGAATTTGTACAAAAAGAGCTCTGTTTGGGGCCTGGCATGTGAAGCCTACCTGTGGCACAGAGGGATGCTGCTATTATTGTCACTGCTGTCGTGGTCATCATTGTGCCCTCTCCCCCCTACCCCCAGCCCCACACACCATAGGTGTCTTAGTAGCTCCAGAGGCAGCAGTGGTCCACTGAATAAGGAGCTGCACGAATTTGACAAAGAGTTGTACCTTCCTCAGATAGTTCCAGAAAATAGTAAATTAAACAAGTGATAAGATAACTAAATGCCCTTCCTTTCTCTTTGGTCTTCCCTAGGAGTGAAAAAGCTGCTATATCCTCAAATGGTGAAGATCTATTTATTACTGGACAGTTCCAGAAAACGCTTTCAGAACTTAATGAAGATCTGGAAGGTGAGAGCCCCCCTCCCTACCCTGGCAGTAGACACTGAAGGTTATTTTTCTGACTCTACTTTGTTTAACCATGACAGAAAGGTCTGCTGGCATGTCCAGCGGCTGCACAAGGGACACCGTGGTCCCCCACAGTGATGTGGACACAATCCCAGTGACGTTCATAGGGGAAGTTTTAGATGATCCTGTGGATTTGGTATTGTTTTCCAATAGGAACAACAATGCTGGTTCTTTTGACATGGGGAACATAGCCAGCAGGAGAGTTGACCTGCCACCAGATCATGCCGAGCATAGCCAGGAACACAGCAAGAAGAGGACAGGACTGCCCACCTCAGCCGCCGTTTCCCATGGTGTTGGGAAACAACTCAAGTTCTCTGTGTCCCAGACCTGTAAAGATGTGAATCTGAACCAAGGGGAGCCCAAGATGACCTCTGCTCCAAAGCTTCATACACATGACCTCAGTGCAAAGGAGAAAGGCAGGGAGCCCACCTCCACCCTCAGGGGGAAGACACAGGCTGTCAGGACCTCAACTCCACCCCCAGTGGAGGAAAAGGAAGGAGGTGGAGGTAAGAACGGAGTCTCAGCACCACCGTCATGGTATCAGCGAGCCCAGAACTTAGGGGGGAGCTACGGCCTTAAGTACGGCCTCACGACATATAAAATTGTCCCTCCGAAGTCAGAGATGCGGTGTTATGACAGAGGGGTTTCCCTCTCAGTTGGCGCCATCAAGATTGATGAGCTCGGGAACCTGGTGTGTCCCCGCACACATGCAGGCAGGACCACAGCCTTGCCCTCGTCCACTCTTGAAGCAGAAATGCAACCCATCGGAAAAGTCAAAGATTTCTGGAGGTCAAACTCAATGGGAAAGCAGTGTGGCCGGCCCATGGAGTGCTCGGCTAAGAGGTCCCCCACCCCTGCCGCACCAGTGGAGCTCCAGCATCCAGAAAGCAGGCCCAAAGCAGAGCCTGCCTTCCCAGACCCCAGGGTGGCACTGCCCCAGCAGCTGGCCACCTACCACGGAGATGGGAGCCATGCGCAGGAGGGGAGAAGCCGGCCTCCCACGGCAACCCCGGGGCAGCTGAGGGGGCCAGCAGCTACCACGGAAGTCCCATTCCTTAAGCCTCAGAGAAGAACCTCCAGTCAGTATGTGGCCTCTGCCATTGCCAAGCGGATTGGGACCCCTAGGGCCCACCCGGATGTAGTGAGGAAGCAGGACGACGTCCAGGAGCCCCACGAAGGCAGAGGGCCAGAGCCAGCTGGACGGCCTCCCACTGCAAAGGACGCAGACACTCCCAGCCGGTGCTCAGAGTCACACGATCGTGAGGACAGCGGGGAGTCTGCAGTAGGAGCCCATCCCAGACAGCAAGTCAGCAGCCCTCATGGAGAGCTGTGTACCCAACACTGTTCTGCTGGCATCCACAGGGGCTCCTCTGTCCCACTGGTCCCAGCTTCCCAGAGGGACCATGTCTCTGTGGGACGGAGCTGTGATTCCAGTGGGCAACAAAGTACCAGCAGCCACAGGACCAGATCAGCCTCTGACCCCAAAAGCACGCTGGACAGTACCAACCCCCTACGTCCTCACTCAGATGATCAGACTCACGTCAGGGCCCTAGTGAACGACTCCAGGTGGGTCCCCACCCACGGCGAGCCTCCTCCCTCTTCAAGGGCAGCTGGCACATGTAGCCATGCTGGATGGGAACCTTCAGAACTGGAGAAACCCAGTTTGTCATGCACAGAGGTACACACGTCCAATGGTGTGTTGCCACCCAGCATCTTTGGGCCAAAGAAAAAATTCCGACCTGTTGTCCAGAGGCCAGCGCCAAGAGACACGTGCCTGCACAGTGCCCTGATGGAAGCCATCCACTCAGCGGGCGGGAGGGACAGGCTTCGCAAGGTGAGCACAGCAGGTACCCACCTTCAGGAACACACCTTCCCACCTGCACGCTTCAGTGCCCTGGACACAGATCTCAGATGGCATTGGAGGAGGGAGGGGGCAAGGATAGGCATGAGGGTGGATGCTCCAGCGTCGCTTCACTGGGAGTCCTGTCCCAGGGCCTGTGGAGAGGAATTATGGCCACTACAGGGACAGGCCTGGCAGGGATTGGGGCTTCTCTGCAGCACAGTTGAGCCCGACTGCCCAGGAAATGGTGTTGCCAGCAAACAGTCCCTACCTGGGCTGGGGCATGGAGAGATGGGGGTGGGTCATGCATAACTGCATTGAATGGGGAAGTGAATAAAGAAAAAGTCAACCAGGCCACCCTGCCTGGGGTGTACTTACTCCATTGTTCATGAGGGGGCCAGCAGCTACCACGGAAGTCCCATTCCTTAAGCCTCAGAGAAGAACCTCCAGTCAGTATGTGGCCTCTGCCATTGCCAAGCGGATTGGGACCCCTAGGGCCCACCCGGATGTAGTGAGGAAGCAGGACGACGTCCAGGAGCCCCACAAAGGCAGAGGGCCAGAGCCAGCTGGACGGCCTCCCACTGCAAAGGACGCAGCCACTCCCAGCCGGTGCTCAGAGTCACACGATCGTGAGGACAGCGGGGAGTCTGCAGTAGGAGCCCATCCCAGACAGCAAGTCAGCAGCCCTCATGGAGAGCTGTGTACCCAACACTGTTCTGCTGGCATCCACAGGGGCTCCTCTGTCCCACTGGTCCCAGCTTCCCAGAGGGACCATGTCTCTGTGGGACGGAGCTGTGATTCCAGTGGGCAACAAAGTACCAGCAGCCACAGGACCAGATCAGCCTCTGACCCCAAAAGCACGCTGGACAGTACCAACCCCCTACGTCCTCACTCAGATGATCAGACTCACGTCAGGGCCCTAGTGAACGACTCCAGGTGGGTCCCCACCCACGGCGAGCCTCCTCCCTCTTCAAGGGCAGCTGGCACATGTAGCCATGCTGGATGGGAACCTTCAGAACTGGAGAAACCCAGTTTGTCATGCACAGAGGTACACACGTCCAATGGTGTGTTGCCACCCAGCATCTTTGGGCCAAAGAAAAAATTCCGACCTGTTGTCCAGAGGCCAGCGCCAAGAGACACGTGCCTGCACAGTGCCCTGATGGAAGCCATCCACTCAGCGGGCGGGAGGGACAGGCTTCGCAAGGTGAGCACAGCAGGTACCCACCTTCAGGAACACACCTTCCCACCTGCACGCTTCAGTGCCCTGGACACAGATCTCAGATGGCATTGGAGGAGGGAGGGGGCAAGGATAGGCATGAGGGTGGATGCTCCAGCGTCGCTTCACTGGGAGTCCTGTCCCAGGGCCTGTGGAGAGGAATTATGGCCACTACAGGGACAGGCCTGGCAGGGATTGGGGCTTCTCTGCAGCACAGTTGAGCCCGACTGCCCAGGAAATGGTGTTGCCAGCAAACAGTCCCTACCTGGGCTGGGGCATGGAGAGATGGGGGTGGGTCATGCATAACTGCATTGAATGGGGAAGTGAATAAAGAAAAAGTCAACCAGGCCACCCTGCCTGGGGTGTACTTACTCCATTGTTCATAAGAACAGGAAAGATTCTGTGACACCCCTCTCCCCCTATAATCACTACCCCAACACTGACCATTGGGAACTGTTTCCTCCAGTTGGCAGATGAGAAAAGTGATGCACAGTGAGTTCAAGTGCCCTAGCCTGAGGTCACATTGTCAACTAGTGGGGACCCAGAATTCTGATCCAGGTCTGCAGGACTTAATGCATCTATTAGCTTCAGAGAGCTAGGACCAATCACAGGAGTGATAGGACGTAAAAGGCCCACCTCCGATGCTACCTCGAATGCATAACCTTTGAATTTTATGTAGCATAAGATCAGTGCATAATCTTAACATGATATTATACCACAGGAAAAAAATCTATCTGCCACCAGATAGGGATGGCAAAATCGGCCTGCACGCCTCCACTGACGGACGGTTGGTGCTCTTTTGCTCTGCCTTACAGTTAGCATTTCTCACTTTCTGAGTAGAATGTGTTGACACTCCTATTCTAGACCACAGAGCACACCGCGGAGGGAGGGCCAAAGAAACCATCCTACGTGGAGGCAGAGAGTGAGCGCTCAGCCCTGCTGGCGGCCATCCGCAGGCACAGTGGTGCCTGCAGCCTGCGGAAGGTAACAGAAGGGCCCCCGTTGGGGGACAGTTTCTCCACCCACTCCCCCCAGGGACTGGGGGATGCTACAAATGCTGGGGCAACCCTCTGATTCCCCAAGTGGATGCTAAGCCATCACCAGAGTGGCCAGCCCAACCGCCACTCAGAGGCACCCAGGGTGGCACTGCACCCTCTCCCTTTGGCACCTGCCCACAAGGAGTGAACCTTTCCCAAGTTGCAATGCCTGGAGGGCTGCAGGGCCCAATGCCCCGAGGGCTGCTGGGCCAAGAGCCCTGCAGCCCGGAGGTCAGCCTCTCACCTCCGGGGCCAAGTTGCTCACACTCTAGGCTGATCTGACAGAAGCTCAGCAGCCAGCATGGATTTGACTTCAGGGGTAGGAAGGTGTCCTCCAGCTTCTGGGTGCAGAATCCAAGGAGCATTGTGAGGGGTGGTGGGGTGAGGGTCCTCCTGGTGACTGGTCAGACTGCGGGTCTGTCCTTGCAAGCCGCTGCCGGACAGGAGGCTGGGGTTCTAGGCAAGGAGCCAGCCGCATTCCCTGCCGTAGGTGTGTCCCCGCGGCACGCCCTCAGAAAGTGCCCTGGAGACACTGTCACCTAATCTCTCATTGCCAGGTGTCCTCCTCCGCCTCCAAGGAGCTCCAGAGCGCCCGGGACACCGCGCTGTCTGCACCCAGATCCAAGCCCGCGGGGCCGGGAGACCTTCCTGCTCAGCCCTCAGCCAGCCTGCCGGCCCCGCCCCCTCCGGCCCCCCGGGCCCCCTCCGCAGCCAGGACGGCGTCCAGGGCCAGCTCCGGGCCCGTCAGCAACCCGGCCGAAGCCAGGCAGGCCTTGATGGACGCCATCCGCTCGGGCACAGGGGCTGCGAGGCTTAGAAAGGTGTGTGTGAGCATCCCTGGGAGAGAGAGATACCAGCAAGGGCCAGGGCAGCCGGACAGCAGCGGGCTGGCAGCCCTTTGACCCCTACCCCACCACCAGAGGAAAAGGGGCCCTCACGGGGTGGGGGGCCATCCCCCACAAACTCCTGGGGACACGGGATGCCTCCCCCATGGTTCCAATCTCAAATTACATCTCCACACCCACTCTGAATCTGGTCCAAGGACAGACTTCACAGCCATCTGTGGTGTCCTGAAGAGGGGCCATTCCTCTTAGGACATTTTCTTGACTCTTCTTCCTTTTGTTATATTTGTTTTTTGTGTATCTTGGGACAATTTCTTGTCTCTTCTTTCTTCCTTTTATTATATTTGTTTTTTGTGTATCTTGGGACGATTTCTTTTCTTTCTTCCTTTTATTATATTTGTTTTTCTGTCTAGCCTAATGTTTGTAAGTTACTGAGTTTGAAGTCTCTTGGGTAGAGCCCATGCTTTCTGGCCTTGCAGCCTACTGTGAGCTATACGAGTCTGCATATATACAGCCCACCTGGCTCCTGGAAACAGTGGGTCTTGGCCCCCACAGCAGGATTCCCAAATTAAAAGAACTCAGACCAGATGGCTTCTGAGGTCTGGTCCAGTCCCCAGATGGTCCTCAAATGACAGATCCTCTATCCCTGCCCTTTTCTAGTGGGTTTGGGGAGATAGGCTACTAACAAGGAGGCTAGTGACAGCTACGATTTTCTGAGAAATTATTTCCAATTCCTAAGCTTACAGTTTTCATGTGAACCTGGTGAAGGTAGTGCTAAGATTATCCTCATTTCATGTATAAGATGGGTAAGGCTCCAAACACCCAAATACCTTGGCCCTGGTCACGCACAGCTGCACTCAGACAGCTGTCAGCTTGTGCACAGAAAGCCCTTCTGAGCAAGTAGCCCGGGCTGTGTGCTCTGTAGGACAGCAGGTAGCCCACGAGACAGGGTGGCAGCCTTCACCTAGGGCTGCTGGCACTGCTGAAAGGCAGGTTGCTGCAGTCCCCCACCTCAAGCCAGTGGCAGCTCCCTGAAAGAAGCGTGGCCGTGAAAGGCGGTCCTTGCAAAGCCCAGAGAGGTGTGCCCCTGTGCAGGAAGGGCTGGACACCCACTGACCAGGAGCTCCCCAGGAGCTGCTGTCATGCCTCTTACCTGTGTGAGTGAAGGGCAGGGAGCTGTGTGTGTGTGGCCCTCGGTAGGGATCTGAGACATCACATAGTGAGGGTGCTGGCCAGTCATCTCTGAAAGCACAGCCCCACCCAGGATATGGGGAAAATAAAATTTCTTAACTGCACAGCAAAAGAAGGCAGCAAGTTTCACACACTCTCCTTAGAAGGTGAGCAGTTACAATTAGTGAGGGCTTTGTGGTTTTTCTTTATGCTTTCTTTCCTTTCTGGGGAATTTATGTCTTGATGAACTTATGTACTTACATGATGTAAGGTGAGGAAAGGTGAAGAAGTTGGGGTGAATGGCTAAAAGATAGTCCTAAAAATCAGACCACATGAGTCCTCATAAAGATAGCTCTATCTGTGTGTTCACCCTGAGCCAGCCTCTCTCCTCCAAGCACGTCATAATACCAAATGACAGGCAGATGGTTCAAAAGTGCCCTCCAAGGAGTCCAAGCAGTGCAGTTGGTTATCAGCCCTGATGGTTTGACTGATCCTGAGGCATGACTGTAGTTTCTGCAACACTGTTTCTCCAAGTGAAATCCATAGGTTCAAAGGGGTCTGAGCCCACGAATCTGCAGTGTACTTTACCAAGTAACTTCACATTTAGGTTTGAGATATTTATCTATGTCCTCTGAGGATTTAATATACTTTAACACTGGATGCAGTCATAGAGGAGCCGTGGCCACACGCACATGTGTTTCTTAAATACGCCGTCTCATTGACTGTTTTTGGATCTTGTCAAACAGGTGCTCCTCTCTCCCACTTGGAGGAGTCATGAGGAGCTTGGGCCCAGAGAGGCAGAAAGCTTGCCCAAGGCTACACAGCTTGGCACAGGGCCATGCAAACCTGAACCTCAGGCTCTCTCTCTCTCTCTCTGACAGCACACTCCATGCCTTCTAGAAAGAAAGAAAGAAAGAAAGAAAAAAACAAAACAAGTTTGGGAATTGTCTGAACAGAGAAGGTTGCATGTGTGCCATGGGGAAGGAGTGGGAGAGATTCTGGGCAGTGGAGACAGGCGGGCCCAGCGTTGGGTGACGGTGCAGAAGGACTTGTGTGTCCAGACACTAGGCAGGCCACGAGGCCTGCACGTGCCTGCTGGACAGGTTCTCGGGTGGTAGGTTCCGGCTGGTGCTTCTCACAACGTCAGCTTGCTTTTGGCTGCTTCCACCAGCATGTGCAAGCCCTGGTTGTGATTGTTTCTTGGGTTGAGTCTAAGTGTTGGAACCTGCCGTCTCCACCCTGAAAAATCTAGGTAGTAAATATTTACACAGCATGTCTGAGGTTTTGAAGGCAAACAGTTTATAGATATCCTAGGCTGAAAACCACCAGGATAAATGTGACTGGGGAGCCTGTGTCCCTTTGTTCGTTATCAGTTCCTCACGCAGATGTACTACATTTTGTATGGACGCCTCCAGGCCACACTCAGAGCCCTGTGTTGCTGCTCCACCCGGTAACCCCATCTCCCACCCTTACCCTCTGCATCTCAGAGTTACATAAAAGCAGCTAAAGGAGATGTGACTTAGCAGGCCAGGGACTAGATGGGCACCAGCCCAGCAGCCTCTGTTCAGCCGTCATCAGGGACACACAGATGCAGCTGGACCAAGCTGGCCTGACCTGGAACAAGTGTTCTCTTGGAGGCATGTAGCTGACCTCACTCATTAGTGTCTTCTCCTTATTCATGTCCAGCAGTGCCCCTGTGACACCAGGGGGAATGTGCAGTTTCCACAAGAGGGGCCTGGTTAGATGGCACTCTCTGCTCAGCATGGACGGTGGACATTTCTGTTGGCTTTGCAGCAAATGCACTTTGCTGTGTGTTACTGTGCTTGACTCAAATCATTGGAGTTTTGCCTCTTGTTACCTCTGTAGCTTCCTTTCACCTTGTGGTTTATATCACATTGTGGCTGACTATATCCTCAGGCTCTCTTTAACTGAACTAAGCCAGATGTTTTTATGCTGTCCTTCAATTTACTTTTCTACACCAGATTTAGGAGAGTTACCCTTTCCCTTCTAAATATTTTCTTAATTTGCTGAGAACTTTTCAAATCTGGATTTAACCATTAGGTTGGGGTTAGTGGTGATTAACAGGCCCTCCAGGTCTTCAACCCAGACACTGATCCAGTACTCACCTGCCTGGGGCTCCTGTGCTGCCAGGTTCTGGGGCTGTCCTGGAGCAGGGAGACCACCCCTCATGGGCCCACACTTCCACTCATCCCTCTGTGCCCTAAGAGACTTACTGTAGCAACTCAAAACAGCCTTCTGATAGTGCCTTCTTCCAGCGTGCCAGCTTTTAGGTGGCCCACCCCAGTCTTCACTCAGTTGTCATCTCAACATGGCCTCTAGGAAGCTCAGTGAAATGAAATGGCAGTGGTGATGGGGATGGTGCAGTGGGGTACACTGCATGTCCCACTGTGCCAGGCTGCTGTATGGATGCTTTTTTAGTCACCCTTCCCAGAAGGCAGTACCAGATACATTATGCCCAGGCACCAGGAAGGAAGGGGCGGTGTGAGTGAGGCACCCCCCAGGCCCACCCAGCCCAGAGGCAGGCAGACTCCAGTGTGTGTGCTCTGAATTCTATACACACTCTTGTTTTTCCTTTCCCAAGAGTGCTTATAAATGATGTCTTTATTACTGCCATTTTTTCTCAGTTTTATTGAGATATAATGTTGGCATACATCACTATGTAAGTTTAAGGTATACAGTGTAATGGTTTAACTTAAAAACATTTTGAAATGATTACCACAATAAGTTTAGTTAGCATCTATCATCTCTAATAGATATAGAAAAAGAAAAGGAAAAGACAGTTTATCTAACCGATAAGAACTCTTAAAATCTATCCTCCAAACAACTTTCCTGTATGTCATACACAGTGTTAACTATGTCATCATCATATATAGTCATCACATTGTACTTACATCCCTAGTATGTATCTTATAACTAGAAATTTGTATCTTTTGACCACCTTCTTCCAGTTTCCCTTCCCTCTACTGCCCCCCCCGCCCCCACCTCTGATAGCGACAAACCTGATCTCTTTTCCTGTTCATTTATTTTTTTATTCTACCCATAACTGAGATCACACAGTATTTATCTTTCTCTCACTTACTTCACTCAGTATAATGCCCTCAGGGTCCATCCATGTTGTTCTGAATGGCAGGGCTTCTGTCTCTTTTTCTGTGACTGAGTAATATTTCATTGTGTATATGTAATACATCTTCTTTATCCATTCACCTATTGATAGACTCTTGATTGTCCCAGGTCTTGACTATTGTAAGTAATGTTGCAATGAACATTGACTTGCAGATATATTTTTGAGTTGATATGTTTGTTTTCTTCAGATAAATACCCAGAAGTTGAATTGCTGGAACATATGGTAGCTGTATTTTTAATTCTTTGAGGAAACTTCATAAGCCTTCTTACTTTAAATCCAAGTAGAATCTGTGGTTCCTTTCATAGGAATTTCAAGGCCAAATGAAATGTTTCCTAGGAAGCCCATCTAGATTTCATAGCTCTCTTCCCTGAGTTTTGATAAATCCAGCTTAATATCAAAATGCATTTTTCTTGTTGATGTTTTTTAAAGGATTTCTTCTATCATTTTGTCACAAACAGTTTCAAAGATTTTGAAAAGTTGAAGTAATTGTGCGATAAACCCCCTATACCCATCATGGACAGTTGATGATAACATGTAACATTTTGGCTATATCCGCCCATCTACCCCTCTACCCACCACATGAAATTTTGTTTTCTGTACATTTAAAGTATATTACAAACATCAGGATACCTTACATCTAAATAATTTAGTATACTCTATTATTAAAGTTTCATATATTTTAGAGTTTTTGAGAGTGTAGGTGAAAAGCACACATCTTCAGGGCACCATTTGATGAGTTCAAAACCTGTTTTACAGTCCTCACCCCCACTGAGTTTGACTCTGGTTTTAGATAATTATTAGGAGGAGAATAAAACTGAAATAGTTATATAAAATTTCCAGTTCTCAGGATATGTGTGCATATGTATACGTGTTTATAGTGTGTGTTTGTATGTCTATATACAGCACATATATATAGGCACACACACATACACACACATATTTTGGGGTGACGTACAGCTACTTGCATTATCCGGCTCGGAGGAGCTGCACGGACACAGCTGTGGCAGGATGGTTGGAGAGGGCAGGGTCTGGGTAGAGGAGGCAGGAAGGAGGACTCTGCATGGCCCAGAGCAGTGGGTAGTTAAAACAATCAGTGCAAGGAGGAGGAGTAAGATAGTGCTATTAAAATATGTTCAGTTCACTTGTTAGAGTCACTGGGAATTCTAGCCAAAATGAAGTTTCAGAGACTGGATTTACCATCCCACTTGAAATAACCAAATATGCAAATAAAATACAAGAAACCGTGGTTTTCAGCTCACTGGGTAACAGGCAACAAGGAGGAGAGACAGGAAACAAATGAAGTAAAAACCCTGTGGTTTCCCCCCACCTTTCTGTCTTGGAAGTTTCCAGGCCCTGGTGTAGGCTAAGCCCAGGAGAGTCCAGCAGACCCCCCAGGTTGAGGAGCAGAGCTGAGAGTACAAGGGAGACCAAGGCAGCTAAAGTTTGCAGGGCAGAGTCCTGCAAAGGAGATTGCATCATGGAGCGAGAATCCCAGGGTCCTGCAGAGCATCCCCTGTCATATTCAGCTGGGTACTGATCAGCATGAGCTGGGAACAAAACCATCTGAAAGGATTAGATGAAGCAGTGCAAGGAGCTCACAAGGTCCAGGAGGGGCCCTGTTTGCCTAGCCAGGCCAGAAACCTCTAATTCTTTGGCCTCAGGTACAATACTCAGAAGTGTCTTACCTCAGTCATGGGCAATAGTTAACTTTAACATGGCTCTCATGCTGCATAACAAATCTTAAAAGCAACACCTAAAAGGGTCAAAGTGTTTCCACATAACTGTATCCCAGAACAAAGCTCAAGAATATTTCTGGGAATGCTAACATATCCAGCACCATGTCTGGCTTCCAATCGAAGATTGCCAGGCAAGCAAATAAGCAGAGAAATATGAAACACTATAAGCTGAAAATAAGTCAATGAAAACCTCCCTAAACTGGACACATGTTAGACTTGGCAGACGAGGATATTAAAGCAGTTAATATAACTGAATTTAAAGAATCCAAATAGTACTGAGTACGTTCTGTGACTACAACAGGGTTAAATTAGAAATTAGCAACAAAATGATCCTGGAAAATCCCAAATATTGAAGACTAAATAATACATTTCTTGATCACTCATGGCTCAAAGAAAAAAGTAAAAGGGGATTAGAAAGTATTTTAATCCAAATGTAAATTGAGACAACATAAAATGTGTGTGATGATACAAAAGGGAAGTATATTGTTACGTTAGAAAAGAAAAAAGGTCTCAAATGAGTGACCTTGCTTCCTTCCACCTTAAGAAACTAGGAAAAGAAAAGCAAAAACTAAACCTAACATGAGCAGAAGAAAATAAATGATAAAGGTCAGAGCAGAAATCAATGAAATAAAAAAGAAAAAGTAATAAAGAAAAATCAGTTAAACTAACAGCTTGTTCTTTGGCAAGATCAACGAAGTCAGTAAACTCTGGCCAGGCTTATCAGGAAAAAAAGACAATTTGCCAATATCGGGAAGGAGAGTGATAACATCACTCTAGACTCTGCCAACATTGAAAGGATAATAAGGTAATATTATGAACAACTGTGCTAAATAGACAAATTCTTTGAAAGACACAAACCGTCAAAGATCCCTCAAGAAGAAATTGTTATCTCTTACAGCCCCCATATCTATTAAGGAAATTCTATTTGAAGTAAAATCCTCCCCCAACCCATACACACATATAAAATCCAAAACTTCCACCAGGCCCAAATGACTCCACTGCTGAGTTCTACCAATCTGGAAATTTCATTCAGAATTTTCTGAGGAGAGATGCCTTCCCAACCTCTATTCTACAGGGATAATATTATACTAATGCCAAAACCAGACAAAGGTATTACAAGGGAGGAAAACTATAGAGCATTATTTTTCATGACCATAGATGCAAAAATAGCTAAGTAGAAATTTAGTAAATTCAGCAATATATAAAAATAATGCATCATGACCGACTGGGATTTATACCAGCAATGCAAGGTTGGACTAATATGTGAGAAACAATTAACTCCCCATATTAACTAAAGAACAAAAAACAACATACTATGAATAGACACACTAGAAGAATTTGACAATTCAACATCTATTTCTGATAATGAACTTATGTTCCCCAAACTGAACTACAAGTTCAACGTGATCCCAATCAATATTCATATAGGCTTTTTGTAGAAATTGCCAAACTCTAAAGTTCATACAGAAATACAAAGACCTAGAATAGCCAAACTACTTTGAGAAAGAAGAACCAGGTTGATGGATTATCACTTCCTCATTTTAGCACTTAGAATAATGCCACCCTAATTAATATGGCATGGTATTGGCATCAAAATAGATCAATGGAACAGAATAGGCAGCTTGGAAATAGACCCACATATATGGACAACTGATATTTTTCAAAAGTACACAGCCAATTCAGTGGAGAAAGGACAGTGTTTTCAACAAATGATGTCATAACCATTGGGTAGTCTTAGGGAGAGTAATTAACTTTGATCCATACCTCACACCATGTAACTGAAAATGAGTTCTATATCTAAATAAGAAAGTCTGAAATTTCAAGAAGAAAACGTGCAAGAAAATCTTGATGCTGGCTAAGGCAAAAACATCTCAGATTTGAAACCAAAAGCACAACCCATAATAAGACAAATTGGGAAATTGAATTTTATCAAGATTGAAACTTTCTGCTCTTTGAAAAGACATACCATCCAGAGAAGGAAACTATAATAAGCCTTGTGCTAGAACTACATGTTGGCCAACCATATATCTAATAAAGGACATGTATTCATAATTCAGAAAACGCTCAGTCATAAGAAAGCAGCTCATTAAATGAGCAAGAGATTTGAATAGGCATTAAAGAAGATACACAGGTGCAAATAAGCACATAGAAGAGTTCTCCACATTTTTTGGTCATTATGAGAAAGAAAAAACCTCAAGATACTACATACCGACTAAAATGGCTACAGGTTTATCTAAAAGTGTTGACAAGATGTGGAAAACTGGAATTCTCAGAAACTTGGTGAGAATGTAAATAGTACAACTGCCTTGAAATACAGTTTGGCAGATTCTTTAAAAATTAAACCTGTGGCTACCATATGGTCCAGCTATTCTACCCTTAGGTGTTTATCCAAGAGAAATGAAAGCACATATAATAAAAAGACTTGTCTTTACATATAGTGTTCATAGCAGTGTTATTTGAAATTGCCCCAAACTGGAAACAACCACAGATGTCCATCAATAGAAAATGGAATACACACATTGCAGTGTTTCCATACAAAGAATCACTACTTTGCAATAAGAAGCATGTTGATCATGCAGTGACAGATGAGTTTCAAAATAATTATGCTGAGTGAAAGAAGCCAGACCAAAAATAGAGTACATAAAGTACATAACTGTCCCATTTATTAAAATTCTAGAAAACACGAACTAATCTATGGTGATAGAGTA